TGAAGATAGTACAGCGCTCGACCTCTAAGATCTTCCCCTTCTTCATCAGCACGTCGAAAATCTTTTGGAAACGCATCCCAAATGCCCGTACGCTCTCATCTTCATCTTAAGTCATTGTTTCAAGGTCCTGGATGGAATACTTGTTATCCTCCAATTTGTAAAGCTCAACAAGGTTCTTCTTGTACGTAGTCCATTTCCCATCCTTCGGTCGAGCTTCCTTAACTTCCCTACCAAGACTTAGGTCCACATTAAATAGGAAGTTCTCTATAATCTCTTCCTCCGACCACTGACTCCGGCTGGTGTGAAGCTCCCACTTCTCCAGATATTATGTGATACCATAACCCCTGAAGGTAGGAGGCTCTGAGGCCTTGTGCGTAATAATATAGCGATCCTTGCTCTCGTAAGGGAGTGGATGTGACTCCCCTGTCTGGGGGCCGAAGACTCGCCTGGGCGGCGCCCTGTCTCTATCTCTGTCCCTCCAATAGGAATCCCTCGAATTCTCTCTCCAGTCGTTTCTATACCTGTTTGCTATGGTGTCCCTCCGCTCGTACTCGGGGGAGCGCCGCCTCGTCGCTTCTCGTCGTCCGCTCGAGGTACCCGTCTTTAGAGCCTCCTGTGGCTCTATCACAACTGGTTCGCCTCTCATGTCGGGCCCTCCGTCATTGGTTTGGTCAGCCCATCTCAGCGTTGCTTCTTGCCTAATTCGTTCCTTCAGATCCCTCAGTGCTCGATCGGGCGATGCCCTGTACTCCTCTCCTGCTTCGCCCGTGGTCGGTTGTGGCCCCATCGTGTCGGGTTCCATTGGACAGCCAGAAGATGCAGTTAGGTATTCTAGCCAACTGTTACCGTCCGACCCTATGACAGTCGCTGCAGCCCGGACCTGTGACAGTTGCGGCAGCCCGGACCTGTTTCTTTATCATGACTCGCGTCCGCCTCCAATCTTAGCTCTCGACTCCCTCGATTACCACCTCCAGTATCCAGTACCGGTCGCAGATCTCGTGTTCTCTCTCTATCCCAAGAATCCCTGTGTCKAAGTAACCTCTCCTTCGGGATCGGTCAACAAGGCCGTGCCTGTCCGGATCCRCAGTACGCCCRTGACAGGACCTCTATCCTTGAGACAGATTGCAATCCCAAACCTAGCCAATGTCTCCTGATCAACACCCCTCAAGAGTCCCCGAGCGTCTCTCTCCGTCCTCCTTGCTAGTTCTCCTAGCCYTGTCTGAATCGGTTAGCCYGCTAAAGRCCCTCCTACTGTCGCCCAATGTCGCCCATCGACCTTTCTAGCTTCCTCTATCCTTCCAAGAGCTTCCAATTTTTATTTCCACTACCTTATCTCCTCAATGGTTACGAGTTCATTTGTCTAACAGCTGAGGTAAGTTAGTGCTATAACGACTTGTAACCTCATCGCAGACCGCTCCAATATGTCATAAAATGTCTCAAAGTCCTCATTATCTCCTCCTTCGTCTATCGCCTCTAAAGTCTTTATCGTTTCCTTCCAGTACCGGTTGTGAGCGGCTAACACCCTGAGTATTGCACCATCTGTTACAACTCTCCCTAACTCTCCATCTTTCCTGGCTTCGCTTATCTTTAACCTCTCAGCCTCTCTGGTCGTCTCGTACCATGCCCTTACCCGAGACCGCCCTTCGAAGGGTGTTACTCGGAGTACGTATTTTATCCTYCGTCCTCCTTCTATTCCAATCCAAAGTCCTGTCCCCCTTGCCTCACGCAGGGCACGGCGGAAAYACTCTGCCTCCTCWACYATGCACAGTCTGGTATGGAGMTGGAGTTCTATGATCACTAACACTAATGGTCCATCCAGTCTCCCTACCACATGTAATGAGTACCGATCCGTCGTGTGTAGTGCAGTCCCGCTCATGTCCTGTCGCTACTCCCCTGCGTTACTTTGTCTTTCGTTGTCTCGCTCTCTGCAGATCGCTTACTAGTTTCTTCGCGTGATACGCTTCTAGCCTTTACCTTCTCCAAAAAGTCTGATCTCCACGCCTAGATAATCTCTCTCTCCTCCCTAAACAGACTCTCTAACGCTCTCGTCACGAGTTCATCTCTTCACAACTTGCCCTCGTCTTGACACAACCAGATCTCCCTTAACTTGTCCCCCAACTTCTTTACCTGGTTCAAGAGTGGTTCTTTAACGCGCTTTCTCACTCTTCCGACTGCCTCACTCTCCTCTTCCATACTCAGTCCACATCTTTCTCCAGCTCATCCTCTCACCCTCGCTGTAGCCTCCGCTACCATCTCATCTTGGTAGTGCTCCGCGCGCATATAACCATGAGACCATATCATCACATCATAGGAAATCGAGGTCTGGAAGGTCACTCGCGCCAGTACATCAGCTCTACGCTCGTGGATCAAATCCCTAGCTCGTTGTCTGCACTCACTCGCCGTCAAGTCCTCGTCTACGTACGCTCGGAGAAATACTATCACAGTGTATCCTGTACTTACCAGTTGCTCCTCTACACGCATCACCGTGGCCGTTCTTCCCGGCATTCCCTAAGTTGCGACCTCGAAGAGAAATCTCGCGTCCTCTAGCCCCGCGTAATCGATCTCTGCCCGTCTCCTGCAGTACCTAATCAGATCGATAGGCCTCAGACAGTCCACCCAGCTCGTAACATCTATGATGTCGTCAAGTGTCTCTCTACTGGGCGCTCCCCACCTCACACAAATGGCGTAGTATACTTCCTTGAAGCGGGGCGCTAAGCCCTCCCAGAGCGCGTAAAGTGTGTGATCCACTGCTCTCCTCAAACGATCCACGCTCCCATAGGTCTGCTCTATCACGAAGGTAGGAACTCCGGATCGCCAATCCTTTCTCGGGTAGAAAGTCGGATGTGGAAGACCGTATATCAAGCAGCTCCTACTCGTCCTCCCTCCAGAGAGTCTCGCCAATTGCTGATTAACGATCACTCTGGCCAACAACTCGCTTCTCCACCAACTTCTGCTCGCCCCTGCGAGCGTTAGCCCTATCTCTAAATTGTGTGTTCTATCCGCTATTAGATGTCCGACCCCTTCTAGATCATGAGTCCTCTCGGGTCGTTCGTCACGTAGTGTCACTGTCCATAGGAAGAGCCCCTCTGCGAGCCACGTTCCCAAGTATCGTATCGGTGCACGCCCTGCCTCTTCTAACGCCACAGGAAGTGGTATGTCGTATCCAACCGCCGTCTCTCTGGGTCCCACAAGCTTCCTCACACTATACGATTCGGACTCTCGTGAGAAAACATAAGCTAACCCGGTCGCTGAATCACTCCTCATTTCTTCTCCTACTCTCGGTCAGCATCACTCTACTCCCTCCGATGCGCCCCATCTCTCGACGTTGCTACCCCTTCTGACAACTCTCGCACTCAGGTCCAGTATGGTCGAATAGGTTCAGTGGCCAGGCTCACTCATCCTTCGCCCTGGTGCGCTCCTCTACCTCCTACGCCCGGACCGCTACTGCTATCCTAGGAAAATGGGCGTCTATAACGTCAATCTCCTCCTCGTCAACCTCACTCTCTGGGTCGACCCAATCTGGTTCCCACAGCTCCTCGTCGTCCTCTCACTCCCAACCCTCGTCGTCAAACTCGTCCTCGACGCGGTATGGCGCCTGTCCTATGGCCTGGTAGTATTCCGTCAACTGATGGTCGTATATCAGAGGTCGTCCGGCGTCCTCATTCCACCAGCTCCCCCAGTCGTCTGAGAAGAGCCGCCCGATGCAAGTCAC